CATCAGTAGGGAATTTCTGTCTCTGAGTGGTAGACGTTCCTCCTCGAGCAACGTCCCCAGCGGTGAGGAGCGAGGAGAAACGGCTGATTTCGCAGGCTTCATATGAACTTGAAAAAACATTCATGGTAGAAATGTTCGCGAGAAATTAAGGCCCCGTTCACACGGAAACGCTAAAGCAATGTAAATACGATAGCATCCCTTTCGGAGCATATCATGTATGACATCATCGTACTCGAAAACCTCCACTTTCGTCCGTCCACACGTTAACGAAAAACTGGCGTTTTCGGTGACCATTTCACTGGATACGTGTGGACGGTAGGCCAAACCGGAGAAAGAACTAATCCTTTTTGAAACGAAAACGGATACGTGTGGACAGGGCTAGCCTGTGTACAGGCCACTCCCCCCTCCCCTCAGGAAAAATCGGAGAAGGTTTCCTAAGGGGAGTGGGAGGGGGGGTCTGTACACAGGCTAGGACAGGGCCTAAGTCAATCAATGATCATTACAGTAGGAATTCAATTACATTGTAAGCTCTTGTGGAAAGAAGCATGAAACAAACAAACTCCAATGATCAAGATAAAATTATAGTGATCATGCGGTAACAATTTTTCCACTACACTTTTGCCTTTTTGATGTCTCACTGTAGTGGGCACTCTTGTCCAACAGAACCCTTCAACTTAACAAATTGTATTGTGTGTAATTTGCGCTCAGTAATAATGATCTATTTTGGACTAACTGGCGTAAAGACGCGTGTTTATTTGTGTTCAACTGCTGCTTTTGTCGTTTTATTTTTCTTAAACAGTGGATTCCTGCTCTGAATGAGGGACGGCTATCCCTGGGTGAATTTCTTCTTCCTGTTTCATTGGAGAAACTACCGTTAAGTTATAGCATGTTCTCTGCAGAGGTAACAGAATGAAAGTCTAGTTAGTTGTTAATTGTTGCTTATTACTTTAAAAAGGTGCTGTGTGTGACTGAGGTTTCATTTGAATGGTCAAACGATTAAATTTATCCGCTGACTCAAAGTCAGAACTGCGTACGAATTGAATACCGTATCCTCTCTCTAATAGCCCCTAATTTGTTAGGGGAAGGAAGAGAGTTATTATATACTCCCTCTTCTTCCTTAGTAGAATGTATTACCTACTCACGACTGTAACACTTCATGTGGACTGGTCCGATATGATTTATTCACGTACTGGAAGTTTGACGTTGTTTTTGATCTTCGGCTGCATGACCTCCAACTTCTTGAGCCTGAGTTTTTCCACTTGTCTAGAGTTCTTTATAAATAAATGACATCACCAGCTTCGCTAAATTAAATAAGCCCCCCTCAAAAGTGCCTGAAATAAATATACCCCGGGGGTTCTAAAGCTACGGAAAAACGGGCAACAAAAAACTGTGCAACTTGTCTGGCAACATTGCTGCAAAACGAGTTAAATAGCAATGTTGCGCGTTTTACCACTCACATCAAACCCGTCTTGGAACAAATCAGGTTGTTAACAGGTTTGAACGTGGGTGGTAAAAGTAGTGATAGTGGCTACAAATGGTCCTAACCAATCCGAGCGCAGCACAAATAGTGTTCGACCAATCAGAATCGAGCATTGAGCCCATGTGACCTCATTGACGTCACAAATCCCCTTATTTGGGCATGAATGTTCACGTGACCCCATGGGAAAAAGAACACGCACACAAGTGTTTGATCCTCATAGTTCACATAGTTTTAATGAACGTACCGCGTAGAACCTGGTAACAAGCGCGACGCATGCGCAGTTCGGCCCCAGACGTTTGTCCTGCGCAGTCACGTGATTGGGATCATAGGCACATGCGCAAACCGCCAAACGACTCCCCAGGTCCCCCGCATTCATAGGAGCACATTTCCGCCTAGACCTATGGCGCATGCGCAAACACTCAAACGAAGCCCCAGACCCCTCGCATCACCAGAAGTCAATAAAAAACACACTGTATGGTGGTCAACATCATCCATCCACATCATTTAATGCAAAACAAATCTCGAGAGTACCCTAAGTTACATACGGGACGTGTGTGACGTCCGAGTGACGTCACGCCCTTGACATTAATAAGTGAACATAAGAAAGGGTGTTTGCTTCCTGGCTATTGAAGTCATGTGATGCGGATGAGGCCATGGAATGTAATGGTTGAATCCTAAGAAAGACCATGGCTTGATCAAGAACAAATTGACATGAAAAAAAATACCTACAAAAAAAGAAAAAATGGAATGACAGTTTTTAGATCCAAGAAGCAAACTGAATGAGGAAAAGTCGACCATTGCCACGCACGAGGCGGTGGTTTATTGTCCAATGATTGACTGGAAAACAAAAAAGACTTAATTACAAACGGGACGTGTGTGACGCCCTCATGGTGTCACGCCCTGGAAGGATTGTACACAAAACAATTCTATTAAAATCCAGTCTTGCGTGAAATCAAAATGGTCTAGGATCCAATGCGTTTCTGGGAAAAAGGTTTGAACAAATGGAGTAAGCTGGACCATCCTTGATGATTGACAATACAAAGTTTATGAGGGATGGGCCAGCTTTGGAAAATCATCACCCGTTGGAGGATCCAATGGGAATCTAATTAAATTCCAAAAAAAAAAATCATGAACATCCAGCAGGGGTGGCGCCACCATGCAGACCTCCCCTTGCCGGGTGTTCAGAATTCCCAATCCATGCTGTCCATCATCGCACAGCCCCGACAGGGTTCATGGAGGGTGGACACGTGCCGTAAATAAATCCAGCACCGTTTACACACAAAATATAATTGTCCCGTCAGATTTTGGAGGGACCTCGAATGTTGGTCCATCACCTGGGCAATGGCTGAAAAAGGAAAGGGAGATAAATGGCTCGTATGACAAAACGAGAATCTGAAAAAAGGAAAAAAACATAAGTTTTTTAAGGACGGGGTGGGTACCCCATGCCTTGCAACATCTCGCACCAATAACAGGGCACGTGTAAGTCGCTGGCAAGACGAAAGTTCAAATAACAACGACAACAGAGTAATTTAATGGGTCTCGGAAATGGAAGGGGGACCCCTGATCCAGTGTACCACTGCACGATACTGCCGAGGAAACACCATGCAGCGGAGGTACCGTGAACCCTGTGGGTGCTGAGAATGGTATGCGAATCTACAAAGAAATTAATAATAATGCTGTAAGCTCATTAATAAGTAATTGATATCGTCTCGGAGCCGGTGGTTGTTCTTGAGGTAGAAATGCGTACCTAGAAAGTAGTGTGATTGCAGAATTGAATGAGATGTTGCAAGGGGAGGATCCACCCCCATTGGTCAATAGTAGAAGTCACATCTGAAACGTTTCATGAAGACTAATTACACATCTAACAGTACTATAATGACATCGCAATTGCACGGGTCTAATCCATCCTCCATAGTGTTTTAACGTATAATGAAAGCCTACAAAGAGGTGGAAAGTCGAATCAAGATGGGAATACTGGTACGAAAGAAACCGGANTATGCGAATCTACAAAGAAATTAATAATAATGCTGTAAGCTCATTAATAAGTAATTGATATCGTCTCGGAGCCGGTGGTTGTTCTTGAGGTAGAAATGCGTACCTAGAAAGTAGTGTGATTGCAGAATTGAATGAGATGTTGCAAGGGGAGGATCCACCCCCATTGGTCAATAGTAGAAGTCACATCTGAAACGTTTCATGAAGACTAATTACACATCTAACAGTACTATAATGACATCGCAATTGCACGGGTCTAATCCATCCTCCATAGTGTTTTAACGTATAATGAAAGCCTACAAAGAGGTGGAAAGTCGAATCAAGATGGGAATACTGGTACGAAAGAAACCGGATTGTAAAGGGCGGATCCATTGCGTGTGATGACGTAACAGGCAATGCGTGCCTGTAAAAAAATTAGTTAAAATTAATCATCTGAAAAACCCAGGGCAGCCAAATCCGGTTCACCTACGGGACCCTGGGCCCGGAGAAACGAATTGATCCGGAAGGTCATACGTAGCGGCCAATCGTCCCAGTCCCGATGGTTGGGGTCCCCACTCTGCACATACTCGACCACATCATCTTCGGTGAGGGACCCCTCCCTGTTACCAGCAATGACATCATCCATTGTCAAACCATCCATCATGCGTTCACAGTGGTTACACACCCCGCCACGGGTGGGATGAGCGACCCACTGGTAAATGTGGCAGACGGGTTGGTTTTCCACAAAATCCAAGAAATCTATCCAAAAAAAATTTAACAGGAACAGGTTGGAACCCAGAACCGCGCGGCCCAATTGAGTCGAGCTCGTCGAGGGCAAAGACACAGGTGGACAGGCCACAGCACGGTTCGTAGAAACTCAAACCCCGGGAACACGTCTATGAATCAAAAAAGGGATATGAGGAAAACCCACACCCGGGGGATACAAAAAAAGCAAATGGGACTCACCAGCCATGCGGCGGCGATGGACCTCATGATCGAGTTTCCGGGCAACGGGGTGGTCCCACGGCAACGTTTTCGCCCAATCACGCAGTTCCTCGTGGGTGCATCGTCTGAACAGGGCGCGCAGGCATTCCTTTCCCATCGGGAGGCGGTCCAACATCTTCAGCATGTCAAACAGGATAGCAATCGGCACCGAGTACAGGACAATCGATTGCAGCGAGCTCACCATCTTGATCAGCAACACTGAACAAACTGGAATGAGCCAACACGGGGCGCGCAACGTGATTTAGAGACTCCACGAGCGGATCTGATTGGTGGAGAGCCATCACGTGGGGGAGTCTGAACACGAGAGGAGACTCTAGGGGGTGCCCCCCATGGGTACACTTTTCATCTCTGGACCAGGGGGTCTAGCGCGAGGAGAGGATTGGTGGATACCGGAGGATGAATAAGGGGAACACCACGTAGAGAGGTCAGTCGCCTCATTTTGCTCTGTCAAGATGGACTGCCGAGGGTTGGTCGATCCCAACAACAAGCCATTTGGCCGCGTGTTGCCCTTGGAGGTTCAGATCAAGATTATGTTTTGGGTGCACTGTTTTTACACCATGGACAGGCGAAAGAAGGTGGTACGAGAGTTGAAGGGGTTACCCAAATGCGACCTCACAGGCTTCCCTCAACACCTGGGCGAGGACCGTTGGTGGAACCAAGTGGTGGTGCGGTTGCACGCGCCCCGGAAAAATGGGTGCCACCACTGCCACCGCCTCATGGATCACCGGTTATCGGTAAGGGGAAAAGTGTCCTTTGCTTGTTTTGTTTTGTTGGTTGACTGAGCGTTTTTTTTGTGTCTGGGTTTCAGATTGGCATGATGGTGGAAATGGCGCGTCAGCCCCCCAATCTCGACCGCCTGATGAACGAAGGCATTGCGTTTGTGATTGACACATTCAAACATCGGATCCCCCAGTGTCCCCTTGGACAACGCCCCGTCATGATTGGCAGGAGGAAGGCCTCGTACGATACGGTGGACAAAGTGATGAAGAGACTGGACTTGATCATGAATGTCATGTCAGCCATGCAATTTATTGTCCTTGATATTCATTAAAAACAAGTGATGTGTTCTATAGCAGTTTTTTTTAAATTTGTGTTTGAATAAAGCGTCCAGGGTGGGATAGATCGCTTGGTCTTCTTCACGCGTGCCTACAATGGCGGTTTTGTCTTGGAGGGTGGGTAGCGCGAGAATGTCCTCGGTCATGCCTTCACAGGGTTGATAGGCTTGGGAGGTGGGATTCCACCAAGACCATTGTTCCCTATCCACATCAAAGACATAGAGGGGTTTGCCTAAGAGCTGGGCCATGACCACACTCCATCCTGTCCCACCCAATAGATGCTTGCGCAACTCGTCAAAATAGCCCACCGCCAAGACTAAGGACGCCGGCTGGATCACGTGATAATTCCGCTGGATATACTGGAGGCTGATAGGATGATGGATTTGTCGACCCAATCGAAACGCCGCCTGGGTGACGGTGGGGGTGGCGGCGTCCAACTCGGACTGCGTCAAGGGCGTGAGGGACTTGGCTCGAGGGTGACAGGGTGGGATGAGGACCACACACGCATGACCATACAACTGACGTAATCGTTCCACATGCGTGTCCACGCCTTTGGCACCCCCCGTGTAAATGGTCAGGGGCATACTCTGTGAAAAAATACAAATAATACACAGTGTTTAGGGTGAGACAACGGAGTCCAAGCCCACATGGTATGCAGTTCATCATCATCAGCGTACAGTACAAGAGACCCACTTCGTGGAGCACCATGATCGCTTACCTTGGATGGGAGAGGGCTGTGATGAATGAGATGGCTGTTGTGCCACCTCTGTTTTATAGCGGAAGGCGTGTGCTCTGATTGGCGGACCCTCCCATCACACCACCCTCACGAGTGTAAGGGCTGAGTCAGGATTGGTGGAAAAAAGATCCTATGAGGATCACGAGACGCAGGGAAATGGGCTATAAAAGGCAGGCAAGACGTGCACCCAGCGTCATTCCGCCCAGACATGGAACGTCAAGCCACTCAACCTGCCGCGGTGCCCTCAGGACGCAAACGACGCCGAGTGAGTAGTAAGAAACCCAAAGGGAACGAGGAAGCCCAAGCGCTAGCCGTAGAGAGGAAAGTGGAACCGACCCCCACCAGTGAACTCGTGTTGGCCCTGAACGCCCTGCCCCGAGCAGACCCACTGACACCCCCTACACCCTCCCCCGTCTGTTCCGTCGACGACCTGATGGAGGGAACCCTGAAGGACTATGAGGAAGAGTGTGTCGAGGAAGGGACGTGTCAGGCTGATCCTGCCAAGGAAGTCGGGGAATGGGAAGAACACGACCTCGACCAGATGGAGACCCAGTTGAACGATCTCTTGTATGAAACGTGTCCCTTTCATCCTCGTCACTACATCCAGTGTGTCAACCCCCACACCCAATTTGGCCAGTTGAGGTTCAAGTGCCCCCAAGAAGGGTGTCCCGTCTATTTGTTTGAAGAGTCTCGGGAAGTGATAATGGAGAAATTGAAAGAAGACACGCACCCTCAAGTCCGTGCCCGATTGCAACGAGGGGAGCTCAAGTGCAAATGTGGATTCGTCCCCAAGATGAAATTGAGTCGTACCAGCAAGAATTACCAGAAAGTGTTTTTCAGTTGTGGGAGCTTTCTCCCAGGACAAGACCCCTGTGGCTACTTTCAATGGCTCCATGGTCCGCTGTGGTGTCCCCGAGAGCCAGCGCAACTCACGCTGAGACGATGGGTGAGAGACACACCCCCTGAGATCCAAACCAGAGAGGTTCCACCTATCCCCCTTTGGAAAAAAAACAGCCCAGAGAGGGATTTTGTGGAGAGGAATAGGTCGTGGTTCAATCAGTTTGGGGAAGCCGCCAAAGCCAAGGAGAGAGACTTTGAGAGCAGGCGCCATTTGCATAAGAACTTTGGTAGCTCGATTTTGTTTTGAAAAAATCATNGGGTCCAACCCTTTGCCCAAGCCCATAAATTGAAAACCCCGCAAGCGCAACGGATTCTCCAATCGGTGTTGAGTTATACCCTCCACAAACCCCGACGGACGCGGTTTCCCACCGCGCCCACGTTGGTCTTTGACCGAGACGAACAATGGCAGATGGATTTGGTCGACATGCAAAAACTCAGTCGATGGAATCAGGGGGACAAATATTTGTTGACGGTGATCGACGTCCTGTCCAAGTATGCCTGGGCCGTCCCCATCAAATCCAAAAGCAGCACGGAGATGATCCGAGGGTTGGAAAGGATTCGTCGACAAGCCTCACCGCGACGACCGCTCCGCGTGCAGACAGATCAAGGCAAAGAATTTTTGAATAAAAAGGTGCAAGCCTGGTTCAATGGGCGTACGCCAATGCCTACCATCGAGCCGAAGAGTATGCCAAGAAACGAGGGGCATTGCGTTCCCCACCCAAGAAAAAACAACGCCGACGCGCGGGTCGTCATCCACCGATGCGCCAAAAGAAACCCCCCAAACCCAAGACTTGCATGACCCTGATGGAGTTGGCACGGGCCTTTCCCAACATTGCCCAGCAAGTGTGTTTTCATCCCAAACAATCAACCTTCAATTCGTTGGTGGGACGCGTCCCTCGCAGCAAACAGAAAGTGGACCAGTGGCTATAAAAGGACCCTGCCCCTGTTCAGAGGGGACCACTCTTCATCATGAACGAGATTAAACGCCTGACGCTTGTCAGTGATGCGACCAACGAGTTTCCCAACAATGCCAACAACAGTTTCAAGGTGCGACTGCCCGAACGGCTCTCCCTACCAGGCGAGGGGTGGCATGCCTCGTTGATGTCGCTGACGGTCCCGGATCAAGGGCAGAGCAATGCCATGATCGCCGCGGATCCTCATACCAAAGTGGTCCGATTTTCGTACCCGCGAATGATTCGCAAGTGGACAGACACGGGCAACCCAGCCACTTCAGGGTATCTGCGTATAGAAGTGCCTACAGTGGTACAAATGGTGGAATTAGAAGAGGTCATGAATGCCGACCAAATCGTGTCCACAGGAGCTATGTTTTGGCAACGCGTGATGCAAGAAGTGCATAACAAAATCATGGCGATGATGATGACGCAACAATACAATTTATTGGTGAATAACCGCGATGAGAAACCGGTGCTATTTGTCAAGAAAAACGCGATGCCTCGATTAACGTGGAAAGACAATGCCTTGGTGCTTCATGGGATTCCTAAACAAGATCTCATGAACAATCGCCAAGCCATGATGATGGAATTTTTCATCAACCTAGACATTGCCCTCAAGTTTGGATTGGTGCGCAGAAAGACGGGTAAGACTGGGTATGGCACGCGTGATTTTGTCCTGGGTCCCAACCTGCAATATACTCTACCAACCAACAACTACAATGAGGCCACCGATCCAGTGGGTTCGGGTGCTCGTCAATATTTCAATTGGGAAGGGGACAATTACGAGGGTGTCAATTACACCAGCGTTCCCTTTGCGGTGACGACTATTCAGAATATCCGGTGGTTGAAATTGCTGATGGGGTTTGAATGGCAATTGAACAACCTGGATGCTTCCTTTGAAAAGATTGTGGGGACCCGCAAACGCACCGTCATGGTCTATTCGGATTTGGTGGAATCCACCGTGGTGGGCAGTGGCAAGTTTCCCCTGTTGCGGGAAGTGCAATTGCTGAGAACGGGCGATGGGGAAAGCACTGCGGAACCCCTGCACCATCGATGGATCAAAGTGCGAGGACAACAGATGGATATCTTGGAAGTTGAGATTGCCAGTACCAGTGGACCCCTGGCCATTTTACCCCCGGGCAAAACCCTGGTGACCATCGGTCTCAAACAGCTATAAAAAGCCACCCACGCTTCGCGAGGGACCAAAAGCACCTCGACGTGAACCGACCATGCGCGGAGGCAGTTTAACGCGGTACCACACGCCCGTGGTCACCCGGCAAGAAGGCCAGGGCTTGGCCGAAGAGTTGATCAAACTGGCGGGACCCCTGATCGTGCAGCAAGCTCAAGCGGGACTGCAAGATATCCAACGAGGCAAGAGTGCAGCGGAGACGTGGGCGGATCGAAGTGCGCAACTCACCCGCGGGTTGAAACGCAAAGCCCCCGCCATGGCTTGGGCGGCCGGCAAACACAAAGCCAAACGCACCGCCCAAAATACCTATAAAAGAGCCACGCAACGTGTACGGGATATCTTTGGACTGTGAAAACAAGATGGTACGCGTGGGTGGCTTTCTCAAAACGCAAAATCGCATTCGACGGCAACGCGCCCGTGGACGGTTCATCTCGCCGTACCAAATAGGGGGCACGATCTTTGGCAAGTCCACCACGGCGCGCTATCCCTTGATGCACACGTCCTCCCGCCTGTTGGACCCCCTCTACATGGAGAAGAGGATGACTCGACAAGTTCGCCAGATGAAAGGGGGCACGATTTTTGGCCTGTCCACTCGCATGCGCATGGGGGATCCCAGGCAGGTGTTGTGGGCCAACCAAGAAAAAGCCAGGAGGCAACGCTGGCTCCAGCAACGGATGAGCAAGGGTATAAAAAGGGGACAACGTTAAAACCCCATGGACAGTCCGCACCATGTCGCTCCAACTGTTTGACGTGCCCGATGTGGATTATCGGTACGAAGCCTCTCGGGAGGTGGAGTTTCAACCCGCCTTGACAGGCATCCAGCCCATCACGTTCTCCATTCCGGGCTCCGACGATTATTACGATCCCAATTCCCTCCGATTCAAAGTCAAAGTCCGTCTGACCAATCCAGCCGCTGGGTATACCGGATTGCATGCTGGTCTGCTCATCTCCGATGCCAACGAATCGAGACATGTTTACTGCGTCAACAATTTTGGACACTCCATCTTTCGAGATATCACCCTGAGCATGAATGGGGTCCTCATGACGGAACAGAGCAACACCTACCATTACAGAGCCTACCTAGAAACCCTCTTGAACTACAGCCGAGACGAAGGAGCCACCAAGTTAGCCCCCCAAGGATGGGTCAATCAGCTGAATGTGATTGCAGAAATGGGA